AGGCATTGGAGTTAAATGGACATTAAAGTTTGAAGTCTCACTAGAAGCAGCAGCCCCTCTCAAAGGCTACCCCATCAAGCTGCTATGAATTCATGAGCGCCCCAAGTGCAATTCACTAGGCAGAAAGCCTTGTCTGGTCTCGCACTTTCACCAATGCTAGCACTGGTTCAGCTGACGCAGCGGTAGCATGAAATTCCCATTAGTGGGAAAGTTGGAGACGTCCCCTCGGCCATGGGGGAATCGTTTTCTACTGTGCAAAGCAAGCACTTTTCTTTTTCCTCATTGAACTCTTTCAGGCTTGCTTAGCCCTCCGAAAGCAGCACACAAGAAAGGGGCACAAGGCCCCGTTTACTTATTTTTGCAACTCACTTTTAAAAGTGAGCAGAACAGTGCTTAAAAGGACGCAAGCTGTGAACAATCCAGAGAGGCAGACTGAAAAACATCAAATTTGCAATGTAAAGAGAGAGCTGGAAATCAGCTCCTTCCTGTCCCTCCCATGGCCTGTGCTTCCCTGGCTGGTGCTAATGGAAAAATAGCTCTGGGAATGGGAATTTTGTCTTTGCTGGGTTTGAAGATACTACCGCCATCACCTTCCGTAGTGAGGTTATGGCTAGACACTAACAATTTGCCCCCTCAGCCAGGGATACACATGATCTTCCCTGGGTAAGATCCGCTCCACCCCAAAAATCCATCCCTATCCATCAAATCCTCCCTCCCTCCCCATACCCAGCAACTCTTCCATCCCCTCCCTTGACAACAGTGCTTCCCCTGTCCCTGTACCTCCCTGAGACAGCTCCTCTTCCTCACCATAGCACTGGCAGGTGGTTGTCCTGTGAGTGGGTCCCCTGTGGGGCAGATCTGGAAAGTGAACAAGGAACGGAGGTGCTCTCACCTAGCTCTTGGGAGAGGGAAGCAGCTCTCCTTTGGCCGTTGGGTGGGGGGAAGAGAGCTCCAGGCCCTCTCCCTGTACCAGCTTGGCCTCATTTCTCCTTCTCCTTTCACACAGCTGAAGCAGCCAGCATGGCCAACAGAAGGGGAGAGCATGGTGCACCCCCGAATGCACATTGAGCAGCTGGAGGCCTTTGTAGCAGCACTGGGAGAGCTGAATGCTTCACTGAGCAGAGCCAGCTCTAGCATTCTGAGTGGGCTGTGACATGTTTTTCTGCTACCTTCCCCACTGTGTCCCAGAGTCTGTCCGGACTCCCTTCCTTGTCCCCCAAGCCCATCACTGCTGACAGAATCCCAGGACATTCTTCCCCCCTGCTCCCCGTCTTAGCCCTCGTGCTGGGAACAGGAAGATGGATCCACATTCCCAACACAGGGCTCCCCAGGCAGGGCCCCAAAGTCCTTTGACTGTGGCCTGAAGGGCCATGTCAGCTCTTTGGCTGCAGACTTTCACTGTACCACAAGAACACTTGCTTCCTGAGCCACAGTGGGCCAAATCCATCCCTGGGGGGGGAGGGATAGCTCAGTGGTTTGAGCACTGGCCTGCTAAACCCAGGGTTGTGAATTCAATCCTTGAGGGGGCCATTTAGGGATCTGGGGCAAAAATTGGGGATTGGTCCTGCTTTGAGCAGGAGGTTGGAGGAGATGACCTCCTGAGGTCCCTTCCAACCCTGCTATTCTCTGACTCTATTAACTTCTCCCAGGGGTGAGTTGGGCCCACTTTGCCGTGCACCGGCACACCGATACTGGCCTCAGAATTAATTCCCTCGCCTCCTGAAGCCGGGCATGCTGGGGGTGGCAGTAAGATTTTCCTTCTGCAATTTGAGCGATACAATTGTGGGCCTGTCAGTTTCCCCCAACATGGCAGGTGCCTTTATGTGCAGCTAATTCCAGCAGTTGACATAATCCGTGTGCAGCCCCACAACATCCCAGCAGGAGGGACTTCATGCCGTGACACAAGTGTTCCAGAAAATGCTTCACAGCTCCCGTGCGTTATTTCCCACTGAGTTTAGAGGAGATGTTTGACTGGGGTTTCCGGCCTTTTGATTCAAATGATTTTGCAAATAAGAAACTCAGGGCTGTGGGAAGTCTGGCAGGGGAAAACAGGAAACTGGGGTCAGAATCAGGAGATATGAAAATATTTTAATAATAAAAAGAGAGCGGAGACAGTGGGGTCAAGAGGTTAGAGCAGGGGAATGGGGGTGAGTGAAAACAGCAAGGGTGAAATCCTGGCCCCATTGAAGTCAATGGGAGTTTTGTCATTGACTGCAGCAGGACCTCCATTTCACCACTGGATTCTATTTATGGCTTCACCACTAATACACGTTAGCTTGGGCAAGTCTCTCATTCTGTGCCTCAGTTTCCCCCCCCCTCAGGGGGTCACAAGGTTATTACATGGAGGGGGGGGTCGTGAGCTGTCAACCTCCACCCCAACCCCTGCTTGCCTCCAGCATTTATAAATAAAGTGTTTTTAATTTATTAGCGGGGTCGTACTCAGAGGCTTGCTGTGGGAAATGGTTCACCCTCCAACAGTAGCAATATGAAACTATTTTTTTCTCTCTCTCTCTCTCTCTCTCTCTCTGGTGGTGCATAAAGTCCCTTACAATATAATGAACCTGACACGGGTAAAAATGAGGGGAAGGGGGGGTTGGCCGGGGGGAGAAAAAAAAAGCCATGAAAATAGTTATTTCAAGTCTAAAAGCGAAGAGCCTGTAAAGTCTGCAATATTAACACTCAAAGGTGCTATTTTCAAACTAATCTTCCTATTACCTAAGGCCTCTCTTCTGTGTTCTGGTGTGAGATGCTGTGGCAAGGCACAGTTGCACTTTGTTTGTTCTGCAAAAATAAGATAATGTCTTTGTCAAGAGCTTTACACTAACTTGAAGCCACAACTTTGCTTCTGATGAACTCAGAAGTATCTCAAGAAAGTTTTGCTTTCTAGCATTTATTAAGCAGATGGGGGACCAACCCAAGAATGGGAACCAAGCATAGTTTAGGTCATGAAAAGGAACAAGCCAAGCCACCCTGAATATGCTCCAATTACCTATGAGAAGTCACAGAATATTTCCTTTTCCCCAATATGTTCTGGATTGAGATCAATAACTCTTCGCACAGACTGCCAGACAGCCATCAGATAGCGACTGATAATCATTACCACCAACCTGTGTTGGATTTCAATCATCCTCCTATGGAAAAGGGCTTCATGTTCCATCACAACTATCTTCCAAACCATCCAGTTCTTCTTGGTAGCAGCTGGAGCTCCAGACAAGAGACTGTTATTGGTAGAAGCAATCTTACTCAAGAGAGACCATATGTGATACCAGCAGTACAGGAGCCCAACATGAGAGATTACAAACCAGTTTCCACCTTGTTAAAATAAATACTGGTTTACTATTACAATAACTTTAGGGTCCCTAGATTATAAGGCCAGAAAGGACCATTATGATCATCTCGTCTGACCTCCTACATAACAGGTCATGGAGTTTCACCAAACAGTTCTTGCATCAGTCCCCTCACTTCTGCCCATGTGTCAGTCTACTGACTGGGACTGTGCTTAAATTTTAAGCCAGGACATCAGCTCTATGATGAGTGACACTAGTTCATGTTCAATGAACAGAAACAATGGCTAAGGCACATCAGTAGAAGGTTCCAGGCCTGTATCAAAAAAAGCACTGAGGAAGAATTTTTCACAGGTTGACGGCAAGCCTCAGGTCAGTGTATTACAGTAACTCCTCGCTTAACATTGTAGTTATGCTCCTGAAAAATGCAACTTTACACGAAACGATATTAAGCGAATCCAATTTCCCCATAAGAATTAATGTAAATAGAGGTGGTTAGGTTCTAGGGAAACTTTTTTCACCAGACAAAAGACAAATATATATATACACACACAGTATAAGTTTTAAACAAACAATTTAATACTGTATACAGCAATGATGATTGTGAAGCTTGGTTGAGGTGGTGGAGTCAGAGGGTGGAAGAGGGTATTTCCCAGGGAATGTCTTACTGCTAGATGATGATCTAGCACTCCCCTGAGCCCTCAAGGATTAAAACATTGTTGTAAATGTAGCCCCACACTCTACAAGGCAGCCCACATGGAGGGAGGGGAGACAGCATGGCTGACAGAGAGAGAGAGAGAGAGAGAGAGAGAGAGATGTGCATTGCCCCTTTAAGTAAGCTGCTCCACTCTAAGTACATTGCCTTTTTAAGTAGATCAGCATGTTGAGACAGCAGCTGCTGCCAGCAAGCTCCCTCCGTCCTGAGCCCTGTCATGTCCCCCCCACTCTATGGTGATGGGGTAAGCAGGGGGTAGGAGCAGGGGGGAGGGGGACACCCTGACATTAGCCCCCTTCTTCTCCCCCCCACACAGCAAGCAGCTCCAAGGCAGAAGGCAGGAGCAGCACATGGCAGTGCGGGGAGGGACAGCTAAACTGCAGGCAATTGATGGCCTGCTGGGTGGCTGCCGCACAGGGAACTTACGGGAGCGGGGAGCTGATAGGGGGGCTGCCGGCCCACCCTGGTTCCAAGCCCCCACCACTAGCTGCAACGGGCTGCTCTGCCTGCCAGCAGTGGACAAAGCAGGTGGCTGCCAAACAACGTTATAAGGGAGCATTGCGCAACTTTAAATGAGCATGTTTCCTAATTGATCAACAACATAACAACGAAAAAACGTTAACCGGGATGACGTTAAGTGAGGAGTTACTGTACTCTTACACAGGAGTCTGGGACACTTAGCCTGGCTAGTCTAAGTCACTAAAAGGGATTTAATTGAATTAGCCATTTTTGTAGAGACTTACTTAATGGTTCAGCATTTTGTTTTAATCGCTGCAGTGAAGTCCCGATGTCAGTATACTAATGCCAGGAAAGAAACCATTTTATACTCTTACTTTGGCTCAGGTAGATCCAATTTTGGCAAGACGGCTGCCACAAAAAGGCAGCTGAGAAACACCAGCGTCATGAAACTTCACCTTACTGTGCTGAGCAAAATATGTCCACGCTGTCTGTTTAACGGTGCTCTGGCAAACACACTTGGTGTAAAAGGAATGTTACAGATATGTGCTTTCATGATTTCACTGTATTTTGTTTAACAACATGACATCTTCTGTTTATATACACATGCAGAATTTCCAATATGTAAAACTTTGCCCTGGAAGAAAAAATGAATCAGAAAAAGGACTTCTAGTGACAGAATATAGTTTATGATGTACGTTTTTAAAGACAATTAAATTAAACAAATGAAGGAAGATTTGTTTTTTCAAATGAGAGGTAGGGTAGCATGGGGTGGAATGGAACACTGGCACATCTTAACTTTCGCTCCAACCACTGTAGATGGCCCTCAAGAGAGATGGCTCTAACATTGTAATCTGCAACGGAGGGGTTTCAAAGTCTTGCAAGCTTAACTTCACAGTCCAAAATTCCTTCAAGTGAGGGTGGCCTCCTGATCAGCAAGTCTAGTTATTTTTCCCAGATCACATATCTTTAGTGTCTCCTTTGCTAAGATTCTGTGTAGACCTCCAAAATGCAAATGATGTCACAGTGCTCAAGCATCTTCATAAGACGAGCTCCCTGAAGAGAAGAGTTCAGTTTCCAGACATCCAGCAATACGAGCTCCCATCCAGCTTGCTGATCCAGCCAAGCACCTTCCCTTGTTCTTTTCTGGGACCTCAAAAGTAGATTTTTCAGACAGAGACTTTCTCCATGACACTGTCTGTGACGTGCACCTCATCCGCTTGCACTGTGACTGTGGCTGACTGACCGCACATGTGCTGGTGATCCTTCCAATCCTGCAAAGGAGCACGCAGAGAGAATGTGAAAAGAGACAGCGGCAGGAGACTGTAGGTATATCTAAAGAGCAAAAAAAAAAAAAATCAAACCTGTGGCAGTTACTCTCAGAGCCCAGATCAACTAACTTGGGCTTCAGAGCCTGGGCTCCAGCCAGAGCCTCTACATTGCTCTGTTTAGCTCTGCTACGCAAGCGTAAGTCAGCTGATGTGGGCTCCGAGATTCCCCACTGCTGGTCTTTTCTGCTATGTAGATGTACCCTGTATGATCTCGTGAAAGCGAACAGCAGTAGCACCAGATATGGACTTGAGAACTTATTTTTATAGAATGTCTGTTTCCTCAAAGAATCTGTAAATATTTATCAGGCTTTATAAACCGTATTAAGGAACCGCTTCCCCTGACACTGGGCTGAAATTCAGCCACTGCTTAACAGTGCACAGAAAACAATACCAATTTAGGAGAGGACATAAGGAATAAAATATCCTACTGAAATCACAAAGGGAATTTAAATAGGCAGAAGGTCAATTCTCCCAATTGGAATTTAGTCAGGACACAAGTCAGCTACCCCACCATTGTGAAAAACACAGCAGGAGTTTTAATTATCACAAAATGAGGAGGACCTTGGTTGTAACCCTCATCTGAAAAACAACACAGCACACTTCTCGCATTGTGCTGGGGCACTGTTTCACTATGAACAGGGGACAGTTGGCCTTGACCAATATCCCTCTCTAGTAATATCCTCTCTTATCTGCTGGTTTCCTATTCAAATATTAATCAAATCCAACCCTGCTTAGCTCATGAGATGTGATGGGATCACAAACCAGGAAGGGAAGGAGGCAGATCATAAATGAACTTGTCTAATATATACCAGCAAGAGAAGACAGAGTTTGGGGTTGCAGCTACAAATAGCTGGATTAAACTACTGTACTGTATTTTTTCAGCATCAGCAGCGGGCGAGGTGTTTTGTTCGTTTGGAGAAGGCACCTGCATTGTCTAGTAAGAGAGTGAAATCGTGACTGTTCAGTATTTTACAGGGAACAGCTTGCGTTATGTTGTGTGTGTTACGTTGAGGTAATCTGGTGGGACTGCTGCCCTGAGACTCTCAGGAAAATGACTTGTAGGTTTTAGGAGGATATTGCAGCAAACATTCATTCATTTTTTGACTATTTTGACAATTGCATTCTAAGTGGGAAATACAGCAATAATTACTATTCAAGTCAAAACCAGGCAAACAGGATACAAGAAGAGCATTAATTTGTTTAGTATTTAAAAAATTGTTTGTTCTCACTGCATTTGGCTTCAACCAACCGGACTGAATTAGGACATGCTCCAAGAACATAACTGGCTAAACTAAATTTTTGGTTCACCTTTAAGTTCTGGCAAGAACAGGTCCAAAATGTGCCAGTAAACAAGATGTGAGGAACACACAGCACAGAAGATTTAAAAATGTTATTAAAGCTAATGTTAAAATTGTATAATACACAGGTTAAGAAAAGAGTGTCTGTACACCTGGGTATAGTGCTTAAATTATCCCAGGTTGGTTTAAAAGTCATACAATACCACCACACCTTTCCATATTTGTTTTTCCCTCCTGGGAAACCCTGAGTTACTTCTTGGTTTGCTTAAACCATGCCACAATCCATTAATTTGTATTATCACCAATGGCAGAGATCTCATGCTACCTATGGTATCAGTAACACCACAAACCAATGTATTCTGGCAAGTTGTTAAAGCAGGAAGAGCCAGGGCAGGGTACACATTAAATCTTATTTCTGTGCCTCTGTGACATTTTGGGGATCACTCAGGCCAGTGAGGGGTTCTATCACCACCTGCCCTGTCACCTTGAGTGCCTCAGTGTGATGCTGTTATGAGTCAGAGCCCTGACACCAGCAGCCAGCCTATAAGCATACAGGTCTGATCCTGGCTTCCCCCAGCCTAGCTATGCCTTGCAGCCCTTCTGATCCAGAATCTCCCCAAATCCATCTACCCTATGTTGTTAACTCCCAGACACTCAGACTTCTCCCCTTCGGTTCATCACCCCTGGCGGAGTGAAACCTGACCCCTTTAGCAGGTCATTGTGGGACACACTCCCCACAGTTTGCACAACAGAGACCTGTTTGGGGTAAAAATAAACAAAAGGTTTATTTAATTAGAAAAATGCAAGCCGTCACAGCCTCATGTGCCTGACAATTCACTTGGTGAGGGGGTCAGGACCTGTTTCAGGCCTGACCTGGATTTTTATTTTACCTTGGGAGTTCACCTTGAACAGGTGAGTTGCCAATCTTAGAAAACCCTCTCCAAATATTACAAACAGAGGGGTGGTAGCAACATCAATGAACATGTAATTGACACGCAGGCACAGGTTAAGTGTGCAGTGTATACATGGGGCATGCATGAGGTTACAATGAAGGTTGTGTGTTACACCATGAGGGAGATTAACGTGTTGTGTGGGTGTGTTTCCTTTATCAGTTGGCACTTGAAGGAGACTCCTAATGACAATGCGGAGTCTGTCAGAGTCAGTGGAAATGTGTCGTGCGAGCATTAGGGGACAGTTAACTTATTTCCTTGTTTTTTTAGGGATTGCATGATGAGGGATGTCACACTTAACTACCCTTAATCTCTTTTTAAAGGAAGTTTTAGTTTCTGCGATACAGATAAATGATGCACATAAACAGAAGAACTTCACTGAAAATGGTCTCATTTTCCTCACCTCTACTGTGGCTTCTCTCTGATTGGCAGGGGTCTGTTTGGTATACTGCCCCAGCATGCTCTCTGCTGGTGACGTCACAACCACCACAGCTCAGCACTGGAACATGCAGGCAGGCTGGCTATAGGGACACATACGTCCCAGTTGTATATTTGCCTTTTAAAAAAATATGATTGACAAACTTACAAGATGCGACAGACCCTGGGGATGGTAAACAGAAAAAACACGAATAACCTAAAAAATGCGGGAAAAACTCCCCAAGAACAAGAATGACCATGCTCTTACAGGCAGCCTGTATGTTCTCAGTCATGGGTGTAATGCTGAGTGCCTGCTGAGGTTACAGTGTGAACAGCAGCCAGTGATCTGACAGGTCTGCAACCTGTAGACTCGCATTAGAAGATAAGCTCACATATACTAATATGCTGGCCAGTCCTCTTTACCCTGCTTATTTGGGGGTATTCAGTACATGCTTGAACCTGTTTCGCCAGCTATGCTGATTGCCTTTAGACAGTGGTATCTGTGACTTATAAAGAATCCATTACCTTCCGCTGGCAGAAAGTTGAGCAGTAATTGACTTTATGGCATCCGGTGCACTCATTCATTGCCTCCCGACCACAGTTTACACAGGACTGCTGCAAAAAAAGGACAAAGTGGCCGGGTCAGGGATGACAAAAAGCTAGATGCTTTCAACTCAAACAGTAGTCTGAAGGCTGAAGCTCATAGCAGTGCAAAGGAAAAAGCAGCATAATGGCTCAGGGAACAGTCTTGGAAATCCACTCTCCCTTCCATCTTAGCTTAAGTCCCTTCAGAAAGCAAAACAATTTTGAACCAGCATAGTGATTTCCCAGTACTCCATCCGTCTGCCTCTCTGAAGAGCAAACAGCGACCCAAAGCTATGAATCAGACCCTGGGACATTGGGGAAACCTTGCAATATATCACACAGAGGCTCCTCCCACAGTGTTTTACTTAAGCTGACCTGATGTATCTGAACACGCCGTCAGCCAATGGAGGTATATACAACTCTTCGTTACAGTGGATTCCTTTCAGAATCCACCAACAAGCTCTTTACATATCTCTCCAAGCAGAAGTTTAACCCTTCAGCCTCCTTCAGATAAACTCAGGGTTTAACAAGAATGGACCAGGTACTCAAACAGGCTTGGAAAAGGGAACTTCATCTAAAATTAGCTGCAGGTAAATGTTAAGTATGCATCGCTCTAGTGGAACCGTCACAGACAGATATACTCTAACCCCCAGCTGGGCTCCCCAATTTTCATTACAGATACATAACAAAAACTTTTATTTTACCAGTGTGCTTAGCTCCTTTACACCAGTTTATTACTGGCCCTGACTGTGATAGAAAGGTGTGCATGGAAGTTCAAATAGCTGGCTCACACACCACATTGAATTTTCTCTGATTTTCACAAGGGGGGGGGGATTCTACATACATGGAACATTATGTGAAGCAACATCTAGGCACATGAAGACAAAATGAGGACTGAATTTCTGCTTTCCTGGCTTTACTAATTGAAAAGAACATGATTGCTAATATGATCGAAACAGCAATTTCCTAACAGGGAAGAGAGACAGAAGGAAAAAAGGCTATTTTAGAAGCACAGACCCAGAACCTGGGGGTAACTGCACCATCTCTCTTCATACAGAAAGGATGAATGGATTCTGTAACTGCAACACCTAGCTTCATAAATATTTTGATGTCCATTGCTTTATCCCTATCTCAATAAAACTTCAATTAAAAATGAAAAGAGCTGTATATTTAAGTGGGAGGATCACTTAACCCGGGCAGTCAGGGTACATTTTTTTACAGCTCATTCAGTTTCCAACTCATCAAATTACTGATGTGTCATTAGCAAGTCGGAGCAATGGTGTAATGCCATCACAGGAAGTAGTTCTTGGCTGTGAATATATTGTCACACTGCGGCAACATTAACACAAGCCATATTTAGTTTAGCTGCTGCTTCTCTCTTTCAGGCACAACTGATTTAACATCCAGACCCCTATTAACACTCAGCTCATTCACACTGTCTGTTTGCATCTTATCTGCATACCTAGAAATAAAGCCAGTTCAATAAAACTATATTCAGATAGTGCTAACGTTCAGACATAAATGCATAAAAGCCAGGGAGAGAGTTAAAGCTCCCACACCTTATGTGAACTCATCCCCACTGATCCTCAGCAAAGTCAGTCTTTGCTAAAGAACACTCTTAAAGCATGTGACATTTACAGCTGGGATTTAAAGGCTGCAACAGCAGTCTTGTTCTTACCTTGATGATAATTTCTGTTTTACCATCGACATCTTCCGTTTGTTGAAATAACTGGTTTTGATATTGCTGCAATGAAAGAGACATTGGAACCATTACTTGGTAAATGTATCATGATTGTAAGGTGTGGCAGCACAGGGAGCTGTTTATATCAAATGATTAGTGTGCCTCGGCGTGGTGGTAATATAAATAATAAAGATACCATTACTTGAGCTCATTCTTTTGCACTACTGGATTGGGGGCATCTGAATGAGCCATTACCATTCCTTAAAAGAAGGTGACACTGTGGGGTCCACTCGAGGTAAGCAAAAGAGCCTGCATGAAGACGTTTTGCTTTGATCAGACATCCCGGTTAATTGCTCATGTAACTGTCATGTAACCACAGTGTTAAAGCAATCCCACTTCTCCACTCCACCCAAACAGGAGCTCATCCGTTAAACTGGGTGTCTGAGGGCATGTCTACACTAGGGGTGCACAACATCGTGTAGATGCTTCCCACACTGATGGAAGGGGTTTTTCCATTGATTTAGATAACTGACCTCCCCAGAAAAAAAATGAGCAGTACTTGTGGCACCTTAGAGACTAACTAAGGTGCCACAAGTACTCCTCGTTCTTTTTGCTGATACAGACTACACGGCTACCACTCTGAAACCTGACCTCCCCGAGCGGCGGTAGCTAGGTTGATGAAAGATTTCTTCTGTCAACCTAGCCATGTCTACACTGAAGGTTAGGTTGGCTTAACTACAGCACTCAGGGGTGTGAACACTCCTATACACATGTAGCTAGATCAATCTAAATTGTAAGTGTAGACCAGGGCTGAGTCTTGCATGAGACGACACTTACCAGAAGAAGCAGTGCAGGTAACAACGGTATACGGCTAAAGGCATTTCATGATCACTAGCTTGAGTCAAATTTCGCTTGAGTAAATTTGCCTCAGACCACTAAAAATCCACATCTACACTACAATAGAAAACTGCAGCACTGAGTCTCAGAGCTGGGGCTGCAGTGTACACATTTGGCCTCATGCGGGAGCCTGGGCTCTGACCCCATGCAGGGGGAGGGTCTCAGAGACTGGGCTCCAGCCTGAATGTATACACTGCAATTTTTAGCCCACAGCTGAGCCCCACAAACCTGAGTCAACCGACCCGGGCCAGCTGAGGCTGTGTCACAGGATTTTTATCGCAGTGTAGACCAGGGAGACCAGATAGACTCTGGAGGAATGGAATAGCCCATAAACGAGAACAGGGGGAAAAAAAACAGACAAAATAAATGTCTCAAACCTTTTAGAAACGACACTGGGCTGTGCAATCCTGTCCCCCAAAATACAAAAACAAAAGTGGGGGTAAAGGCTCCACTGCAGTCCAGCTACCCTAGTAGAACTAAATGCCAATCTAGTCAAGTCAAAGAACATGCATGCAAAACCCTATGGATTTACTATAATCTTCACACTAACCGAGTAGACACATTTGGCAAGGACAGACTGGCAAAGCTGGATTTTTTTTTTTAAATATCAGACCAGGTCTGTAACTTGGTTTCTCTGAGATGCAGCAGTACAGCCATCTGCTCTGCTGTCTCGTATTTGCTGGCATAAGTAACCGGTCCCAAAGCAGTTCGCATTGGGTGTGTCTCAGAGGACTTTCAGTTTTTTCCCCCCCCCGGCAGTTTCTGAGTACAACAGATGTTCTCTTCTCCCCCCAACCTCCCGTGGGCCCACATAAGGAAGGAGTGAAACCAGATTAGATTCAGTGCTGACCCAGAGTTAAACCTCAGGGGAAGTTTAAAAAAAAACCCTGATATACCACCATAAAGAAAAATAGGTTTGCCTGAGAATAGGTCCCCAACACTGAAACAGATTAAGGGCTTAATTTCAGATCATCTTTATGACCTGGCATCAAGGCATTTACGTTCCTGTGAAACCACAACCTTAGAAATCCTTAAGTTACCATGACATGGGATCAAATTAAGAAACTCTTGGGAGTTGGAGAATAATAGACGGAAATATCTCACCCCTTATAGCAAGAGGCTTGGTTTAGCTCTGGTTTTATTAAATGAAGAGACTCAATCTATGTAGCATGCAAAGTACCATGCACAGAATCTTTAATACTTCTAGTCCTGCTTAGACACAAGTGAACAGAGTCATACTTGCAGCAGAATTTAGTAAGTACAATTTTCTGCCTAGAATTTGATGCCAAAATTCTGTCCAAGCTAAAGGCAACCTCAGTGGAACAGCAACAATAATCACTACTTAGAGATTGTGTTTCTACTTTGGAGTCAGTTTTAATCAGAATGACGTTTCCTGGGCAAAGGGTGACCTCAAGTCTTGAGACAGACTGGAACTGACAATTTACACCAGCTGAGAATCTGGGTCTGACCTCCACATTCTAGCTAGTGTTTGCTCTTTTGCCACCTTGCCAGATATTTATTTGCGCAAGAGAGGCAAAGAGTCATGCTGGAAAGAAAATGCATGTTCTTCCAGGAAGGTGAAAACAGGCCTTGTAGTATCAAGTGGAAGACAAACTACCTATAATACCAATTAGCTAACGTGAAGTGTGGGAAAATGCCACACTGCTTCTATAATTTTTTTTTTTTTTTTTTTTTGCACTCAATGCTCTGGTCTGTATGACAGCAATTAAGAACATAAGAGTGGCCATACTGGGTCAGATCAAAGGTCCATCTAGCCCAGTATCCTGTCTTCCGACAGTGGCCAGTGTTTTCACAGGGAATGAACAGAGTAGGTAATCATCAAGTGATCCATCCCCTGTCACTCATTCCCAGCTTCTGGCAAACAGAGACTAGGGACACCATCCCTGCCCATCCTGGCCAATAGCCATTGATGGACTACCCTCCATGAACGTATCAAGTTCCTTTTTGAACCTTGTTATAGCCTTGGCCTTCACAACATCCTCTGGCAAGCAGTTCCACAGGTTGACTGTGTGTTGTGTGAAGAAATACTTCCTTTCGTTTGTTCTGAACCTGCTGCCTATTAATTTCATTTGGTGACCCCTTGTTCTTGTGTTATGAGAAGGAATAACACTTCCTTATTTACTTTCTCCACACCAGTCATGATTTTATAGACCTCTATCATATTACCCTTCAGTCATCTCTTTTCCAAGCTGAAAAGTCCAAGTCTTATTCATCTCTCTTCATATGGCATCCGTTCCATAATCCTAATCATTTTGTTTCCCTTTTCTGAACCTTTTACAATTCCAGCATATTTTTTTTTAGATTAAGTGCAGCATGTTAAATATTCCCCTCCAACACATGCACACACGAGCGCAGTCCAAACCAGCCACAACAAACCCCTCAGCAGTGGTCTACACAGTCACACAAACAGATGCACCATGCTGATAGCCAATGAATTCTAGCTCTAGGGGGCTGCCACAGGCTGTGAGCTCCATAGCGGAGGACTTTTCCCCTACCTAATTTTCAGTGAAGAGATATAGGATAGCCACCAGGAAGCACAGCTATCAGGTACCCATTCTAGGCCCCACTCCTTCCTGGAATACGCAGATGAAGATATTTTCACCTCCACTTAATTTATTTGAACCAGGAGTCCTCCAATTACGGGCCACAGACCATCAGCAGTCTGCAGAAACTGAGCCACTTGAGACCCAAGCAGAGGGAAACTGAGTGTGGAACTGAATCAAGAGAATCTCTCTCTTATAATATGGTCTCCAGAAAAATTTGGAGAACCACTGATCTGAACTGTGCCTATTGCTGTCCTATGTAGCATAATCCATATACCAACTACTTTTTGTGTACACCTAGATTCCTTAAATGCCGGACCCTTTTTCATTTAATTTCATGCCTCCTGCCCTGATCTATTTCAATCTTTCTGGGAAAAGAATTCAGACAATCCAGCTGTTAAATGATCTAATCTTTAACCTGGTCCTTAAAAGTAGCATCCCCTCTAGCAGTGTTACATTGAAGGGATGGGACTTTTTCTAGTGTTTTTCTACATTAATTCACAGAGGAATGATATTTTATATTCATATCTTTGGCTTAGGGTCTTGGGCTTTTTTAATGGCTTAAACAGTATTCATTTTGCACAGAATATGGGAACGGATTTTTGGTGGGTTTACATTTTCTCTAAAACCTGCTCGAACTAAGTCGCAGCTTAACAAACACTAAAAATGTTAGATTTCGCAGGCATTTCGGGCTTTATGTAAAGTTGTGCCTTTCATCCATTCCTTTTGGGCTTATCCTGAAACATTCTAAGCACCTCCTATGAAATGCTGAGCATCCTCAACCTTTAAATGCAGAGTATCCCCCACCATCATCCCACTCTTTTTAAACAAAAAGACACGGTGAAACCAGAATTCAGTGACCAATCAAATGTAGTCTTTTAAGGGTCTTTCAATAAGGGTGGCTGAGAATTTTACTTGATTAGAAAACAGGAATATCAAAATATGAAATATCAAATCATACTTCCTGGACACCAATAAATATTTTATTGTTTAAAACACAAATACTGAGACCTTCATTTTTATACAAACACATGAAATACCAATAGTTGATAAAAAAAGGATTTTCTTTAACGTGTGATAAAAAGGATTTTCTTTAACGTGTGAGATCACTTTTAGCCAAAACACAGATGTCTGTCTGTCACTCACAATAAGCTGACCGTATGCAAATGATGTCTGGCGTTTCCATGTGAAAACATATAGCCATACACAGAACTAAAGTATCAGCTGCATGCACACCAAATGTTCACATATACTGGGTGTGTCTTATGGGCACTGAGGTCCAAAGTATTTCAACAGATGTCAGTGACTCATATCTGGGACTAGTTCTAGGAAGTCTCTGATTGCAGAGAGATAGTAGAAGTGGTCTCAATTCAGAAAACCTTTGGGGTGATGCATAATAAAAAGTAGCTTTTAACACTGATTTCATTATAGTTTTAAAATGCTGGAGTTATTTAAACTTTGAAACTCAGACATGATCAACACTGCATATGTGTATCAATGCTCTGGACCAGTAACACTAAATTACAGCAAATTTGTAATGGTTCTAATGGACTGACAACGCATCCTAACCATTTGTAGCACTGAGGCACTCTGGTGTGCAAACTGAGACAGTTCTACTATAACAGTAACTGCGCCAAGGGGGTTGCTACAGTAAATGGTGGAATCTTATTTTTCAGCTTTAAAAAACTGCTATGAGGATAATTTAAAAAACGTGTCTGATTAATACATAGATTCTCAACCGGGGGAGGGTGGTGTCAGACTTTCTAGGGGGCACAGACATGGGTGCCAGAAATAAAGGGGCTAAACAGCCATTACCCCCCCACTTTTGAGAACCTGAACTCAGCGGGGATGCAACTAGGGGGAGTCCAGGACACCCCACCCAGAGCTAGGAGGCATGGGATGGCAGAGAGCTTTCCTTGCTGGCATGACGGAGGAACGGCTGAGCCAAATCTGAGTGAGTGGAGTTATGATCTGGTGTACGGAGTTGCAGCGTCACTCCATTTTAAAAGGTAAGGGGTGTTTTTATAGTACCATTTGACATGCATTTTGATGAAGCAGTAATCTGACCAGTATGCTCAGAACAAATACATTAGCAACAGGAGGTGGCAGTATTCTTCTTGCTATTGTAAAGGGTGGATGCTTCAAGTTAAAAAAAGAAAAAAAGAAGTGCTAAGGTGGGGTGTGATTCAAAATGACTGGGAATGGCCTGGATTAATACTTTGTACTTCAATAATGCCTTCCATCCAGGGCTCTCTCAAAACTTTTCTAACACTTGTTAAGACTTCACCAAACCTCTGTGAGGTAAATACTATTGTTATTTTATTGATGAGGAAACTGAGGCACAGAGCCATTAAGTGACTTACCCAAGGTCACATAAGAAATTTGTGGCAGAGCGGAAATAGAACCTGGAATAGACTCCCAGTCCTGTACTTTACCCACCAAACCATGCTCCTTAAGCCAATTTCTATCAACTAAAAAAAAAAAAGGACAGTCAAAATTAGTCCCTGAATATATACGTAGACTTAAAAATTACAATTATATCTTGAAAGAAAATATTTGAGATGTTCAACTTACAAGTTTGGAGTTTGTGATCCTACATTTCCATTAAGAAAAGGAGTACTTGTGGCACTAATAAATTTGTTAGTCTCTAAGGTGCCACAAGTACTCCTTTTCTTTTTGCAAATACAGACTAACACGGCTGCTACTCTGATACATTTCCATTGTAACAGCTGAGGGCTTCACAAACATCTAAACTGGAGCATTTTCCGGCTATGAGCATGAGATCAGTGATGCTATCATTGGTCAGAGGCAAATAAACATCTGAACACAGGATTTGGGAGATACGTGATAGAGGAATGGATTTTCGAATATTCCTTTTAAAAATGTGAACATTTGTTGTCTTCATATATATTCCGTTACTGTATCTGGATGAATTTTCTTTCTAAAAGAAAGAAGCCAGCCTTAAACAGTCCAGCCTTAAACCCACACACTCACTTGAACTATCTAGTGTCTAGCGATTGCCACAGGTTCCTAAGTATACCCAGTGATCTAACACTCCTGCCCAACTCAGACACAACAGACGACTTTAAGGAACGAACCGCAGCCTAAAGCCTGTTTTGCTGGCTTTCATCAATTTATATGACACAACGCTGAATATATTTTTATTTGCTACATTTAGCAAGTCCCCTTTCCCAAAAATTCTCTCTCTGCAACCTCCACCCCTTAAAAAAAGATTTAAAAAAAAAAACATTCCAGTGACTCAAATGAAACATCATCAGACAGTAACATTAGTACAGAATATCAGAAGGAAGGTCTATGTCAATAATTTGACTGCAAATGTTTTTTCAAATCAATGGTCAAGTAACAAATGAAGACCTAGCCCCAGCACAAATCTCTCTTTCAGTCCACAATGACTGGAAGTGGAAGTCTGTCTTTCACATGGTTATGAATTCTACAGATCTCAACACAAGAAAAGCCAATACCACTTTACTGTACATGGCACAGCTTGATTCACTTCAGCAACATCAATTAAATTGCTGTCATTTGGAAATTGCATGGTTCATTTGCAATATTTAAGGATTAGCCAGTCTTTAATAGTGATATCAACACAGCTTCATTATTTCTCACTATCCAAAAAGACTAAATCAAAGGTAATACATGGGCAAACTTTCCAGTTTGCCTTCTTCTCCTGACAGTGAATGTACACTTCAACTAAGCTAAGCATTACATATAAGGTGTCAAATGCCAAGATAAGAGTCATGTCGCTGAACTGAGCAACAATTCTGCAGATGTGCAAAGAGCGAAGCTTGTATTAACAGCTGTAGCAACAAAGCTTGTTACTGAACAACCCATTAGTGGAAGCCGGCTGATTTCCAATCTAACAGATTTTTTTCTTTAATCCTGATGTGTGTTAAATTCACATTCCAGGAAGATCTGACTCCATAGCTCTGTTCTGGTTTAATCCCTTATTTGGGCTTGCTCTGCATTTCTTATCTAATGAAAAGATCTTTCATTTCAAAATACTTAAAACGTAGCATTGCAAAGCGATTGCACAAAACTGGTGGTGATCCTGAACAGAGGTAAGATAGCTACTACATTCAGCATTTCTGTTAATGAAAACTGATGAAAGCCCCTCCTGATTTGTCTACAACTCTACATTAACCAGTGGGGATTCTCTGAACATAGAAAATGCACATTTGCTCTGTTCATTCCAGGTACTGCTACAGAATGGATTCTCTTTACATTTAGCTGGTTCATGCAAAAAGTAAAGTAGATATTTACAAAACAAAGTTCCTGTCCAACACTGAACTGTGGAGATTTGAAAACTCAATTAGAGTAGCAGTTACTTGTGATGGAGCAGTCTCAGCAAGATCCCCACCCCATGCTCATCTTAAGTATCAGAAAGTTTACTTCAGCTACAAAAGGTTCTTGTGTTACAGACTAAGACAACTGGCTTTCAACATTGTCAGATCCAGACAGTGTTTGACCCACATAATTAAAAGTGGAAAGCCCAACTGTTTGAGAATTAAAATAAATGCCAATGTTATGATCCCTGCCCATGCACCCTGAGCTCTTCCCTACAGTGAAATTCCCTAGAGTAAATATAAATCAAGAAATAGCTACATGAAAAATAATCCAATTTGTTTTGCTTAAATATATTTACCAATAACGCCACATACTTTTATTATACTTTTTAGCAGGGTTTTCATTTTTTCCAGATATTACTGCAGTTGGTTCCATTAGACACTAAAAATCATGGACTCAATAAAGATACTGGATTTATGGTTCATTACAACAATCCAGAATCCAGTAACCCTCCTTTCTCCTATGACTGCAGAGGTTTTAACCGCACACTTCACCTTGAATGATTTCTTGCAACATGCATTAACTCCTTATACTTAACAATCCGTTCCACATTGTACTTAGCCACGACACTCTGAGTGCCTTCCAAAGACCTGAAGAAGAGCTCTGTGTAAGCTCAAAAGCTTGTCTATTTCACTAACAGAAGTTGATCCAGTAAAAGATACTACCTCCCTCAGCTTGTCTCTGATTTTTTCCAGAAGGCATTTGCTGAAAAAGTTAATTTAGACAAACCTGGAAGCACCGATTCCAATTATTATTGGTTGGATAAGTTTTGCAGAACCAAAAGAAAATTAGTATTTTTTCTGGTTGGGTAAAGGGATCTGTGCAGCCACAAAAGTAAGAGTTTTACAATTGTTATTAGGGGTCATTATAAATGACCACATCACCTACACAATTTCTCAAAAGAATACAGTGCCACTCAGCAGCACGAGTATCAGCAACATATTACAAAATAAGAATGTAAGAGGCAGAGATGGTACAGCTGGGGGTGTATGTTACTGATAAAAAGTCACTCTCTCTCACAGGCTCACAGCAGTTGCCCTTGTAAATTAGCGCTCTGAACTGCTGTGCAACAGCTGGATTTGATCCCTCACTTCCTGTGCCAGCAGAGAATAGGAGCAGCATAGTGAAGTGAGTAAACGCAGCCCTGGTGGGAGGGTAGCAGTCTGTATTGCCATCAGAGATGCCTTTATATAAAGTGTGCGTAGCATCAATGGCCTTCTAATGAGAGCCCCAACCAGCCTTCTTCATCTGGGAGCCCTGAGGAAAGACAGGGCATAAACTGGAGAGGGGGAAAAACAAACAAACAGACAACAAATTATAAAACAATAAAAACATCTGTGCCTGCAAATATCTCCTCAAAGACCTGTGGGTCGGATTCTCCAATGCCTCATATCCTGTGTAGTCCTTACACCTATATAACTTGGGTGCTAAATCAGAAAATAGCATTTGCACCCACTGTGAACAGGTGTAAAAGACTACACCAGTTGGAATGCAATGGAGACTTAACCCCCTCTCCCCCCGTGTGTGTGTTAATCAAGAAAGAATCTGTTTCTCAGTACAAACAAAAGTCAGTTTTGTTAAAGTAACTAAAATCCTGCTCAGACTGTCCTGCTAGCGCTCAGCTCTAGCATCGAAGTCCTGCCAGATACGATCTTTCATGGATTCTCTCTATACCCTTATCTAGGAGACCCACAGAGCTGGAGTCAGCAATGGCTCTGACAGTATCAGAAGTTCGTATCCATGGCAATAGATGCTAGCTACACTTTGTTATTCAGCAGTAAATAAGACAACAATTTGCTGAATAAACATTTTGCCCAATGTAAACTCCCCTCCTCCACCAAAAAACAAAAACAAAACACATTTTGCTCAGTAACATGCCACTGCCCCATCCCTTGCTCCTCTAGCAGGAAGTCAGCAGCTTGAGTAACATCTTTTAAATGTTTGCTAGTTTGCCATAAAGAAAGCAGAGTAACTGTCTAGTTAAGCAGTTGGAGCTTTTGCTATTTCTTAGTTGTGTGGTATATAGGTCTTGCATGAAATCAGCATCCCCTTCCCAGACACCAACTGATCCTCGATGCCAGGGCTCAGAATCTGTGACCACTGAAGCAAGAATTTAAACTATTTCCGTAGCACCCTCAGCTTCTTAGAATCCCAGAGTGCCCTCTTCCCCCAGCACAAGACACGAGTAACTGAGTGACTTCAACAGAAGTTATGAGGATCCTGCAGGGGTGATGAATAGGACTCAAGGTTTCTGAGACTATCCTCATTCGTCAATCTTTCATTCCAACCACAGGGGAAGCTGAGTAAGGTAGCACTTTGCTCACTTAGTAGTCGGAAACAAAGATAATACAGACTCGAGCAATGTCATCTCTTCCAGCATTGTTACCTCTTTCCTCTCCACGTCGGCTTGGATTTTTGCTTGAGTAACAGCAGCCTCCCGGAAGGAGGAGCTGGCCTGTTTAGCCTGTTCAATCAGGGTCTTCAGTTGCTGGGCTGTGTTCAGTAAGGAGTTGACCATCTCCTCCAAGTACAGCCAGCTCCGTTGCTCTGTCATCTCTAGTCCATTCACCACTGAGGGGGATATGGCTTTGGTGGGGGTAGTGGGTGGCACAGCCAGGGCAGGAAGAGACGTCAACACTGAATATTAAGAAAACAAAACAAAGCACACAGGATTGAAGTGTTTCAACTCCACAAGATGCTTCTTTTCATATCTCAGCTAGAAGTTCAATCTAACCAAAACCCAGTTAAACAAATATGATCAAGCCACTCAACAGATTAGTGACAGAGGTGTGTGGAGTGATCCCGTGTGGAACTTTCAAACTTGAGGACTGAGGAACATATGCCCTTGAAAAACTTAACTCACGGTGACAGAGGGGTCTGTAAAACCTATGACTTATTAGGGAGGGAGTTAGCTACAGTGCAACTCTAGTGAAGCCTAACGCAGTCAACTTGACAGCTGAGCTTTTTGGAACCTAGGTAGGCATGGAAAAAAGATTGGGGCCCTAGGAGCAGCACAGTAATTGGCTGTTTCTGCTACAATGATCAGCAACAAAATAGTTAAGGTGAACATTTGTTAACTTTGAGTTTCACAGCTAGCTACATATTAAGATGAATGTGTGTGGTGGAGGCAGTTCACGCTCAGAGCTATTGTTTCAGGCTGTCTGCAAAACTCAAGACAACAAACTGCATTCATTTACACCTGATTCACATTTAAGAGGATTGCTTCACAACCATGAGGGCTAGATACATTTTTGTTTTTGTTGTTGTTTCAAATGATAGCTTAAATTCCAGAATATAACTCTGCAGCATAATTCTGAGAAAAATCCCAGGCCACAAAATCCACAGGACCCTGAATATACTGAAAAGCTCTTTGAGGGATGAAATTCCCATTCTTGGAAAGTGTTGCAATTCTTCTAGAAACCTTATGGAGGAGGATAAAGGTGCAATGAGATGGGCAGGCTTGTACTGTAGCCAAAATATTCGAAATTGGAGCATGCTAAAAGTTAATCTACTTCCATATTTAAGTACCTAAGGAAAGTCTGATTTTCAGAGATGCTCAGTTAAGGTCAGTAGGAGGGAGTATTCAGCTCCTCTGAAAATCAGGCCTCTTACTTAATTGCCTAAAATGGAAGTAGGTGATGAATTTCAGAGAATTGAGAATGTTAGTCTGTAACTATGCCCTTCATAAAATGAGTTGAGCAGAGTCACATAGGATAAAGTGTTTCTGTTCACATTGCATACACTCTTGTTCTTAGATTCACAGGTGGAGTCAGCCAGATGAGCCAGCGTAGCAGGAACAGGACCACAACAAGAGCACTTCTAGCTCAGGAGAACACAGATAAATTATTATCCTCATATTCTTATCAGCACTGGATAACTGGAAGGACGGGCAGGCCCGAATTGTAGGTAATAGCTTTATTTGTTATAAGCAGATGGGGCTGTGACCTGAGAAGTACAATCACAGGTCACAGAGCCATGAATAAGCAGGAGCAAATGCAACAGCCAGGACTATCCTTATTTGCCATATTGTCACATGAAGCAATTAGTTAGGAGACAGTTAAGGCTGACTGTGTTGCAGAGGAGTGCAGCAAATCCCTTCTCCCATTAAAAACATTTACACACACACACACCCCACTTCTACACCTTTTAAAAATAGCCCTAAATGTAAGAACATCTGGAAACTAAGTTCAGGTAGTCAGGCAATTCCCCACTGCTACATGTTCCTTCTTCACTCACTGTCATCTGAACTAACACAAAGCAAAGCAGGGACCACAAATTCTTACACATTGTTTTTGCAAGCGTTCACGATGTCAAACTGACTCATGTAACATGTGGGAGGCTGGCTGCACTAGCATTCACTGTAGCATGGAATGTTTAGCAAAATATGAGATTAATACAGAACGATGAACATTTAACAGACTATAACTGCACCGTCCCAAAATTTATATTCTAAATCTCTCTGGGAGTCTAATTAAGGCTAAGTCAGACACACTTGCTACAGCAACGGTGCATTAGAAAGAACAAAATATCATTTCTCTTTGCTCCCAGCCATGAATTTTTCATATTTACCATATTGCTAAAAAGGTGTACGAAGGAATTTAACAAAATCCCACCAACTTTCAAAATATATTAGCTATCCATATATGTATTTCTATTGTGTTAGTCACAGGAAGAGTATCTTGGAGTGTTAAAAATGGCCAAATGAACTGCAGTGATAAAATGAAAACTGAATTAATCCCAGATTTACAAGGAAAACAGTCACTCCTGCTATTAACCAGGCTGTGGAGGGGGGGCATCCAGTATTGAAATAAGTTTACATTAAATGTTAAAAAAAACATTATTCCACTGGTTCACTGAAGTTAGCTTGGAATGAACCATTCAATAACATAAGATACCTTGCAATCCACAGCATCTGTGGCTGACTGCACTCAGGAACCTCTCATTCGCATCTCTTTAGATCCAGTAACTTTCAGCACTGTCACAGATTTCTGGCTTCCTCTTCAATTGGATACACCCCTGAATGCACTGCGCTGGTGAAGTTACTTTCACCGGGGAACCTTGCTGGAGCTGCTAACTGGCCTAGAAGGGATCGATTAAGTGCCCCCTTTGTTATATTGCACAGTTTCACAAATTGTGTTCTTCAACACATTCAGCTCCCAGTGAAATCTTACTCAATTTGAGGAACCCTCCTTGTAATCATTTTAGAATGAGTATCTAAAAATCCACCAAAAAATGGCCTTACTCAATCAGATCTGTTAGCTATGAAAGCGTGGCAACACAATCTGGTACTTTATTTCAATAATTTTTCCCTGTCAATATATTCACCAAGTCTCTTGCTGTTATGTTTGGCTATTAAGATGAAACAACCCATGGTGGCAAGGATTCACAGAACAAAAACAAACAAGCAGAGCCTTCAGCTTTAGCAGGCTAGTAATCCCCAGCATAGCTTGCCATTGCCAAAGCAGACACCTATGAGTATACTAGGCACAAAAAGCAAATGTTAATACTAGGGCTGTCAATTAATCACAGTTAACTCATGTGATTAACTCAAAAAATTAATTGTGATTAATCACACTGTTAAATAATAGAATACCAATTGAAATTTATTAAATATTTTTGGATGTTTTCTACATTTTCAATTATATTGATTTCAATTACAACACAGAATACAAAGTGTACAGTGCTCACTTTATATTTATTTTTATTACAAATATTTGCACTGTAAAAAACAAAAGAAATAGTATTTTTCAATTAACCTAATACAAGTACTGTAGTGCAATCTCTTTATCATGAAAGTTGAACTTACAAATGTAGAATTATGTACAAAAAAATAACTGCATTCAAAAATAAAACAAAGTCCACTCAATCCTACTTCAGCCAATTGCTCAGACAAACAAGTTTGGTTATAATTTGCAGGAGATAATGCTGCCCACTTCTTGTTTACAGTGTCACCTGAAAGTGAAAACAGGCATTGCAGGGCACTTTTGTAACTGGCGTTGCAAGGTATTGATGTGCCAGAAATGCCAAACATTCGTATGCACCTTTATGCTTCGGCCACGAGTCCAGAGGACATGCTTCCATGCTGATTGTAGAATAGCAGGGTTGGAAGGGACCTCAGGAGGTCAATCTAGTCCAACCTCCTGTTCAAAGCAGGACCAATCCCCAATTTTTGCCCCAGATCCCTAAATGGCCCCCTCAAGGACTGAACTCACAACCCTGGGTTTAGCAGGCCAATGCTCAAACCACTGAGCTATCCCTCCCCCCAATGACACACATTATTAAAAAAAAAGTGTTAATTACATTTGTGACTGAACTCCTTGGGAAGAATTGTATGTCTCCTGTTTTGTTTTACCTGCATTCTGCCATATATTACGTGTCATAGCAGTCTTGGATGATGACCCAGTACATGTTCGTTTTAAGAACACTTTCACAGCATATTTGATAAAAATGCACAGAAGGTACCAATGTGAGATTTCTAAAAATAGCTACAGCACTCAATCCAAGATTTAAGATTGTGCCTTTCAAAATCTGAGAGGGACGAGGTGTGGCGCATGCTTTCAGAAGATTTAAAAGAGCAACACTCAGATACGGAAACTACAGAACCCGAACCACCAAAAAAGAAAATCAACCTTCTGCTGGTGGCATCTGACTCAGATGATGAAAATGAACATGCTTCAGTCCGCTATGCTTTGGACCCTTATCGAGCAGAACCCGTCATCAGCATGGACGCATGTCCTCTGGAATGGTGACTGAAGCATAAAGGGACATATGAATCTTTAGCACATCTGGCACGTAAATATCTTGCGGCACTGGCTACAACAGTGCCGTGTGAACACCTGTTCTCAGAGTCTGGTGACGTTGTGAACAAGAAGCGGGCAGCATTATCTCCTGCAAATTGTAACCAATCTTGTTTGTCTGAGCGATTGGCTGAAGTAGGACTGAGTGGACTTGCAGGCTCTAAAATTTTACATTGTTTTATTTTTGAATGCCTTTTTTTTATATATAATTCTACATTTGTAAGTTCAACTTTCATGATAAAGAGATTGCACTACAGTATTTGTATTAGGTGAAAAATACTATTTCTTTTATTTTATTACAGTGCAAATATTTGTAATCAAAAATAAATATAAAGTGAGCACTGTACACTTTGTATTCTGTGTCGTAATTGAAATCAATATATTTGACAAGGTAGAAAACATCCACAAATATTTAATGAATTTCAATTGGTATTCTATTGTTTAACAGTGTGATTAATCACGATTATTTTTTGTAATCGCTTGACAGTCCTGATAAATACTATCATTGTTAAAAAACACACAATGGCACATTTATACACTAGTGACAGAAGCATATCTACAAATACCATTGGTCGCAGAGCAATGTCCAACACAGCTGGAAATAATGGTATTAAAGATATAATAATGAAGTTTTCAATTCTCACCACTGCCTGATGATAGCCTTTGAGAAGGGTCAGAATAAAATTTCTCTTCCTACCAAGTTTGTCTCTCTATTTGGCATAGGCAGATCCTCCTCTGTCTCCTGCATGATGAATACACCTGAATGTAACAGTGCTTTCAGTAACAACTTCAGGCTAAGTCTTCATCTAGTGCAGCAGCACTGTGAATGATAGCTCAGCT